CAGACCACTCAAAGAAAGAAAACAGGGAAAATACACACTACTTAAATTAGAAGATGGGTAGTTAAGAAAATCAGAAAAGTAGAGTTTGTTAAAAATACTGTAAACCCAGCCTAAAGCAAACTAGCTCTACAATAGTAATATACTAGAACATTTTTTTGGTTTCCATCCTTACACAGTGTTAGAGCTTCCGGCAAAAATCACCCTGCTGGACTGCCTTGAGGAAGAGGTCAGATACCATGAACCACAAAAATGGGTCAGGATCATCAGTTCTGACTTCTCAGAAATTCTATTTAAGCTACAGTGCCAGTCAGCAGATACATGGCTGTTTCCATGCCTCTCTCATTTACTCCATACAAGCATATTAGCCCCCCAAATTTTACTTCCTACAATGACAACTACACATGAGGGAAGCAGTTGACAAGCACCGTGACAGAGAAGTAGTAGTATAAACGTAGCGAGATTCAACACAAGCAGCAAATCTGGAACGTATTGCAACAGTAAACAAAGTAGAATCCAATTTTCAATTCACTATTTTATTACACTGGGAGAAGTTAGTGTTATAAACACACTCTCCCACATCTGGGCACCTGAAGCACCAATGAAGTTGCTTAACCTGTACCCAGACAGAAGCACCACAAAAAAACATTCCCTCGATGTGCTCCTAGCATTTAACAATACGAAATGCTTTAGCATTAATTCTACACTTGCAAAAAGGAAGAGAAAATCTATTCTGGACATGAGGATATATGTTCAAGCAGAGGGTGAATATGCCCTGAAAACATAAGCACAGGGGAGCAAAAGCAAGGAAGCAAAAAGATGATAAAAAAGCTGATGAAGCAAAGCAAAAAATCCAGCAACCCTGCAAGTCTGTGAAGCCTCTGAAACATAAGGCTCTTTGCTTTGATCCCATCTCCTGCCAATAAATCGAAAAAGCCCAAGAACCCATTTGCAGATTTAGTGAGAGTTTCAGGGCCTATGGAAAAGTCAAATCAACTTGTGGTGTTCTGCTTCTCGCATAATGATAAAAGCACAGCTACCCTACATGGCTTCAAGCACAGCACAAAATGGCAGTGCCCGCAGTCTCCAAGCAGCTCTTTAGCCAGACAACATGAAAGCCAGAACACTCGTGCCAAAGACCGTTAATATGATCATATTGCATTACAGTCACTGCAGTGATATTGGGCAAATGTTATGTTGCATGAGGCTATACAATAATTGGGCAGTAATCAGTAAAAACATTAAGCCCCTGTTTTACTACTGCTTCATCACTAGCTATAAAACAACATCCTAATAAAGAGCATAAAACTAAAAGGAACTGAGATTAACAAGGCGTGTTATGGCAGTTTAGAAGTAAAAGTCACTTTAGCAATATAAAATTGAACAATACTATTTAAAAGAATGAGCAGAGAAGATTTACTATTCTTTATTAAGAAAAAGCAGCTATTCAGAGGGCCTGGCCTAGTTACCATAGGGTGTATGTCAAACTGGTAAGCAAAGCACAGCGCATCAATGCTGACCAGAAAAGCACTATATATTGGATAGCTGACTATAGCACTATTGGTCCCTAATTAGATAACCTTGCATGGACAATCCTAAGCACTGAGAGGAAGAAAGAGAGAGAGAAACATTTGAAAAGGCTTTGGCCAATATTCAGATGTGAATTTTGACTGTACAAGTAGGTACATTTATGGCAGAGTCCAAAAATGATGAGACAAGCCATTAGAGAATTAAAGCGGCTCCCTCCAAGTTGTTTTTACCAGGCTCTGAATACATCACCTCATTTTTAGTAGGGTTCTGGTATCATGTGCAGTTAAACGTATAATTATTACAGAACTGTGATTGCATCATTAGCAGAAGTTTAATTATATCATTGACATTAGTGATGCCATAACATCAAGCTCAATAATAGTTCATAACAAAACCTACAATTAGCACAATTTTTCCTCCCTTTTACACCAACCAAAAGTGTTCAGCTTGGAGAAGCCTAATAGTCCATACAGAAGTGAGCTAGGGCTGAACCTGAAAGGATTGCTGGCTGGTAATTTAGTAATATGGTAATTAAAGTCTTTTCATGATGTAATTACACATCAACTACAAAAGGACAGCTGCTATACAACACTGCCAGGGTACGTGGCATGAAATGATTAGATTTGAGAGGCTTTGGTGGTTAAACTGAATACCACAGACATAAGTCTGAGGTATAGCTGGCACCGCACAGCACATTATTATTCAAGTCTCACACTTGGCGTTTCCTTAGTCTCACTGTGATAGTAACAGTTTGTTCCATGTACCTTGGTCTTGTGACAGCAGAAGCTGTTCAAAACCCACCTTTAAAAGCTTCTGCTCTTTTGAAGTTGTCTGGAATTAAGAGACCTAACCTTCTTCTGGGCAGAGGCAGTACAAATGAGGTTTGCGTGAACCCAAAATGTTTATTTCCCACCCCTGCAGCATAGACTCCTCCTGTCTGTGGGAAATGTAGCTTGATTTATTTATAGGCTTTTTCCAGTGGTGGAGCAGAGAGGGGAGAAGGAGAGCACGTAGAGAGAAGTGGCACAAATGAGCAGGTGAACTCAAAAAAACCCCAAAGGTCAACTGAACAACTGAGGGTTTCGGCATCTGGTTCTAACAGCAACGAGCACAAGACCTCTGCTCAGGTGAAAAAACAAACCCCACCCTTCTTTTCAAGAGCAGACACTCACTTTTTAAAGTAGTTTCCTTATTGTGTTTCTCACTGCCCTCATTTGTATCAACTGTGAAGCTGACCATGCAAGGCATGAGGCAACAAAAAAGGAACATATTTTTCCAACTAACACAAATAAAACTTCTTGGCTATATTGACTGGGCTCTGAAAAATACCGGAATGCACTGTGCACCCTGACAGAAGGTGGACAACCTCAGAGCTGCTTTTCTAGTCCTAAAATGTCCTTTTAGTGACAAGGAGCAACTTAGATATTTTGCAATAGCTGTTCTTCCCCCTTTCTGAAACATGAGAGGTAGGGATTTGGCGGGAGATAGGCCCAGACCAACTGATCTTCTACACTTTAAAGCTTTTATTTTCTTCAGCTATGAAAATCTAGAAGGGGGATCATTTGAAAGTGAAAGATTTGGGGAATCCAGAGAATTCTCAGCATGACTAAGGTTTCTGTTAGGTCCATTTGGAAAGTGCAAAACCAAACTATTCTGGATACGGATGGACCCTGTTACCTACAAGATGCAAGGAATGAGTAGAAAAATTTGAGTCCTGGTTCAAACAAACCCCAGTCTTGCTGATGGCTTCCCTTCTAATTTCTGTTCTTCCTGTTTTTCTGAAGAGATGTTTTTGATGGGCTTGATGAACATGCAAAGCCTCTTGAAGACTTGGTGGCTTTAACTACAGTGAACGCTTGGGCTAATTCAAGATCACTGGTGAGTTTTGTACCATTAGGTATCAGAGGTTGCAATGGAGCTGAGGCTGTTTTCAGGAAGCAGAGGAGGAATCCTGGGGGAACTGGAAGTAGCCAGTCATTTAAGAACACAGATCTCAACTACTCAGAAGTAGGTCCTGCGTGGCCTGTTTTAAACAGCACACTTTTAAGAGACAATAAAGCAAGTCAGCCAGCCCAGTGGAACAGACTCAATTGTACTTCAAGTACAATAGCACAAGAAAACACGACTATTTCTAATTTAATGGCAAAAAAGCTAAAATTCAGTGCAGGCAGTGGTTCTGATGACTAAATAGGTGGTCTATACAAACATGTTTGCAGCAGCTACCCTCTGTGAGGACTCATTTGACATCTGATGTGAAAAAGATTCGTATACATCACTTGTCAAGAGGAACTTGGTGAACAATTTGCAATATAAACAGCAAATTCAGCATACAAAGAACAATCACCAACATGAAAAGAATAGGAACTTTATGCATAGAAGTACTTATCTGACTTCCTACACAGTTTAAAGCAGCAAGAGGCAATAAAAATGTTAGGTTTAAACTACAAAACATGTTGCAGTTGACTGCTGTCTCTGTAAATACATTGCGCACACACAGTGCAAGCATGACCTGTGCGTGCACAAACCTCAAACACAAATGCATAACCATAGCAGTCTTCACCTAAAGACAGCGTGGTTCAGTATCTCTGCAGACTTTAATTTCTCAGCTGCTAAGACAACACAACAGCAGTATCGTATGGGGAACTATTCTTCCTGGCCTGTTTATGCACAGTGCTGCCAAAATAAACATGTGAAGGTCTAAAGTCTTGCAAGACCAGCCTCTTTATCTCTCTCTGATGGTGTTATGGGCAGAGAGTGAGAGAGCGGGAAAGCATGCAAGTGAGAGATTTCTAGTATGCTCCTAATTAGCTAAATCAGAAGACAAAGGCAAAGCTTCTTGTCATAAGTCTTCAAGCATCCAACTTCTAAATATAACAAAGCAACAGCTCCTGAACAGTATTCAGTTCTGAGAAATGGACAGGTACATGAGCTAGAACAGGACACAGTAAAAATCCTAACCCGTCATAGCCCCTCTCTCCCTCCCCTCCTGTCTGTTGCAGGAGTAGCGGTTATTTGATTACAAACGATTACCTTCAATTAGATCAAAATCTGAGAGCCGGGTGCCCTTCCAAGACTAAGGTTGAGGACAGGAGCCACAGAACTGCCTACTGAACCAGCCCAGCACCACCCGCTGTTCCAGATGCAGTCACCTTGTTAGTGTTCAACACCCGACTCTACTACACACCCAACAGCTCTTCTGTTTCAATGGCTCTTCAGTGTCATCCCATTCCTCTGCAGCCATCAAGTCATTCATAAACTGCTATGGGGGCAGAAGTGTTGTCAACCTCCCTGATGGAATCCACCACTTGACTAGATACTAGAAGCCTATCACTGCTATTTCTATTCATTTACGTGATGACCGTTAAAGAAACAGAATCCTCTTGTGATACTGTTTGCAACTATGGAACTTGGTAACACCAGATCTGGGGAGTCTGGGATGAAGGAATGGTTGGGGAGACACCACGCTTACTCACCTGCTATCACCAGCATTTGCCACGTAAAGCTTCCCCAATAAATACACCACCACAAGGGCTGTGCAGCCGCCAGAAATATTATACACTGTCCTCTCTCGTTCTATTTGCAAATCCTATGGGAAAAGAGAACAAGATTTATAAAGACAGCATTGCAATAAATGTTTTAGAAAATGAAGATTCCCCTAGAAAAAAACCAACCCAGCCTTTAAAAAAAAACCCCAGCCTTTCTTAATCTGCATGTCCCACTGGCTTTCTTTACTGTTGCAGCTATGGCTGCATGGTCAGGGAGAAGAATGGGAAGTGGAGGAACACGTATCACTTGTGATACAAAGATATTCGGGAAAAATCAGGACAGGAGATTGTAAAACATCAGGCATCAAGGAACAAATGGCAACTCTGAGGGATGCAAGGGAATCTGCTATGGAAAAAGTACAGTGAAGGCAAAGATAAATGTAGCTTAACAACAGGTACCTGGCGGTATAATTGGAGAGTGCTTTACATAGACAGCAAATAATTAACGAGACCTAGCTACGACATGACTAACTACCTGCTCTCCAAAAGGAACGCTAGGGTTGCGGAGCATATACCTTTACAAACAGCAGCAAGGCACCCTCATGCCACAAGGCTGCCCTTCGGAAACACAGGGAATAGGTGGATGCTAAACTTGTTAAGTATAGGGCGGCGGGAAGTCAGTAGAATAGTATTTACTGAAAAACACGAGGCATTCACAGACTTTCCAGGATGAACCACATGAGTCTCATCTCACTGCTTTCATCAGGTCCTGAAAAGACTTAATTTTTATGCAGGTGCACAGGCCCAAATTTGAGGAGGTACATACCTACTCAAATAGTTCTTCCTGTGTTTAGTTTCCAACTGATTCTGAGTGTAAGAAGTATTATAAATAAAAAAGCCCTCCTGCTTAATAGAAGTGGAGAACACAAGTCACATCTGTCACCAACAATCAATCAAGCCCAGGAATGAAAAAATACATAAATATATACATATATATATATAGTCCCAGGAAAGCTTGGAGAACATAAAAGACACAAGTAAATGAGCTATTTTCCAGTACTCCATACATTTTAAACAAAAATTGAAGTATATGCCAATACATTCATTCTGCTGCCTCTTAGTTTAGTTTGGGGTAATAACACAGCACGTTACAAATTACCCTCCTCTCCTGTGTCCAGAATCAAATCCAATTTCAAACTGGTCTTTCCTTGTAATATTGGATTCAAACAGGGAGCATCGTTTAACATTGCTATTGCAAGTACTGGCAGATCTTTTCAACTAAACCCTGCCTACTTGTATGTGTTTTTTATTACGAATATATTTGTTTGCCTCTGTGTGTGTGCATACACACACAGAGCTATACTTCAGCCATTTTCATATTTGCACTGAGCAACAAACAGCTCAAATTGTCCATGCCTTGGGGTATGGGATTTAAAGCTTTATTTTAGAGCTAAATTTATCTGAAGAAAAGCACCACAACAAATGCAAACCATGACAGCTGCAATTTGATTGAAAATCTGCAGAGTTGGAGGAGGTCAGGGACCGCGCTTGGTTTCCTACAAATTTCAGGAGAGGGAGGTGACGTGGGGCAGCAATGGGGTTGCTCAGCAGCGCTCGGTCCTGAGCGGGTTGGGCAGAGGCGCCTGTCACAAATGATGTGGATCCTTGCTGGCCAGTGTACATAGGGACTGATCCCGTTTTTGCCATGAATGCAGTACTGAGGCGGGCAGCGTGTCGGGGACAACAAGAAATGTGCAGCGCTGGCTGACACAGCCCTGCTCTGCTGCACACAGGAACTGCACGCTGCTGCCGGAGAGACTGGGGTTTTACTGGTGGCTCCTCGCCCATGCTCTCATTGACTTGTGGTTTTACTTTTTCTTTTCTTTCCTTTTTTAATTTTTTTTTTTTTTTTGGGGGGGGGAGGGGTGGGTGTCGGGGAGAGCGGGGGGAGTGAGGACAAGGAGAAAAACACCTCCAAGCTAAAAAAAAAAAAAATCAAATCTCGCAGAACCTTTGGTCACAGACACAGGCTTGTTATAAATGCTACTTTATCTAATCTTACCATAGAGAAGCTGATTTTCCTCCCCATGGTTTCTATATATTTTTAAATTAAGCTGAAAAGAACAGTTCAAAGGAAGCAGACGTTTCTAACCATCAAAATAATTTAAACTTACAAATACTACAGTGGATTTTCCAGACACTGCCAGGAATTTTAAAAAACCTTCGTCTCTGCAGTTAAGAGTATCCTCTGAGACCTTCAAACAATGTACCATTCCTCACCTGGTTTCAGCTCCATCATATGTACGCTTTGCAAATGCTGCAATGCCTAAATTAAAATTTATTTATTTCAATAAGCAGAATTCAGAAGCATCTATTATAGGAAAGATGACAGATAATCCTTAGGGCCTCATTTTCAGAGTTTCCTTGACTTAAAGTAGACCTGTGTACTGGATTTTTTCCAAATCATTGCTGTTCATGGGCTCTTCCATATAGTTGTTGTTCAGAACTTTAATTTACTACCATGACTTGCCAGAGTATATTCAGTGCCGTGTTTAATTTGATATTACATACTTTGATTGATATTTTCTTTTTTGGGGGGGAGGGAAGGAGGGGAAGTCTTTCCTACAGCTCAACGAGATTTGAGGGGAAAAAATAAACCAAAATAAAATAAAGCCCACCACTGCCACTAAATCTAACTCTAACTTCTGATGTAGAGACTCTGGCTTTTAATGAAATACTTTATAACAGTGCTGCTGGGAAAGTAGTGCAGCAGAAACGGGCAGAAACCCCAAAATGTCTCTGAAGCCTTTATGGGTGTAAAGGGGCTCATTTTAGACAAAGCCTGAGTGTTACGCAAAGCTTTCTTCATTTTCTACCTGGAGAAAGATGTCAGAGTGAGCTCTCCCCTGCCCCCCTCTTTTTTTTTTTTCTCCTCCTTTCTGTAGTATGCAGCTCATCCCCACATAGTGACGTGCATGGAGGGGAAAAGCTGAGCAACACCGGGCAGAATCCAAGGACGCACCTTCAGCCCAAAGGGCAGCGTGTGACACTCACTCAGACCCTGACAGAAAAACCCAAGGATTTCTATATTCTTTGTTCAAAACGTATTGTTTCATGACGAGGAAGCAGCCAGTTTAGTCTGTGCTCTGACCCCTGTTTCAGGGCACATGTTGTAGCAGCAGGCAGGAGCAGGGTGCCCGCAAGGGTTGCCTCACCCTGTCACCCCGGTCCCCCTCCCCTGGGTGATGGAGCACAGGGAGGATGGAGCAAAGCCTGCAGAGGACACCACCAAGTGCCACAGGGTACGTTTCCAGAGCAGGTGACAGAGAGCCAGGGTCGCTTTCTCCAATGATTACAGAAGCAGCTGGAGGACATTGCATCAGCCCTGGGACAGACCATCCCCACCGTCCTGACCACTTAGGTCTTCTCAGCACCTGTCTTGCTAAGGCTCAGACCTGGGCTTCCCAGAGCAAAAGCACGGGTTAATCACGCTAGCTAACAATCTTTGCTGAAAAAGGAGGAAGAATTGTGCCACGAAGCCATTACCATCCTCTCTGTCAGAGGCTTCCGGGCCCCCGATGGCGGCTTGCTCGTGCCACCTCGTGGAGACCCCGTAGAGGGCCTGGGGGCACCGAGCCGAGCCGCAGAGCCGGTGAGGGCTGGCGGCTCTCGGGGTGCTGCGGGAGGGACCCCAGCTTTTCCCTCTGCCTGCCTTGACCTGTGCGTTGTGGGCACCCAAAGGACACCAGGCCGCTTGCCACCGGCAGCCTCAGGAGGCAGGCTGGTGTGCGCAGGCCGCCGGCGCACGGCCGACGCCGGCGCTGCAGGGGCAGGGCCGACAGCGTGAAAGCAGCAAGCGTGGCGGCACAGAAAGTGAATGCCAGCTATACCCGATGGTAAGTTGTAGACATCTAGGACCTTGAAAACAGAGCTAGATACATTCAAATTGCAGCAGCATCATGACAGCAAGTTAGCATACTGCAACAACTAAAATAACTGTTTTTCATCTATGTAGAATCATAGAATCATTTAGGCTGGAAAAGACCTTTAAGATCATCAAGTCCAACAATATCAGTCCTCAGAGTAAGGGCCTTTCCTCCGGGATCTCAATCTTGCCATGACAGAAAGCAGCTTTACTCCCTACATCCACAGTAGCAGGTATCTGCTTAGTGAAAAAAAAAAAAATTAAAAAAAAAAAAAACCTATGTTTCAGAAGGCATAAAGACAAAATTAACTCCTTCATCTGCTTTACCTCTGTCAAAAAGGCATTGAAATGCCTGTAACACTGTTTCAACTCTCCTCATATTTCCCCTGGTTATTTAATTAGAGGAAGATTTTGAAAAGCAAACTATACAACACACCTTGCTCTCCCAGGACTGTTCAAATTAAAACAGCACCAGTCTTGCAAAAGCACCTGTCTAGATTTAATCTGAGTCAAAAAAATCTCAATAAAGAAGAAAATCATGGTACAACTTGCAGCTTGGTACATGGTACAAACTTACAGCTTCCAATAAATCACACAGACTAGTTCTGAGCTGTGTTTTCTGATCTAAAATTAAACAGGGTTCAGTGTGGAATAGGTGCTCTCTCCCCTTAAAATACATACTACATCACACACAGGTATACAAGGTTAAATACAGGGAAGGAATTATAGTTTGATCTTCTATCCAAGTACAGAACAGCACTTGGAAACATCCCTCCTGGCTCCCTAGAATGGAACCTATAAATGCACACCTTAGGTGAAAGTGAGAGGATTTGACTTATGATACCTTCAGAATTTGAGCTTATTTATTTTCTTTTAACTGGAATAATTGTGGTCACTGACAATTACTGACATTGAACATGTTTTATTTTTGAACAGCACAGAAACTTGCTAACCCCAGTTACAACGCAATCAGAGAACACCATCTAGAAGTACTTCAAAAAGGGGACAGCTTAATTGTTAAATTTCTAAGTTAGGCAATGACTTGGTCTGTATCAGCTTTCCACAGTGTTTTACTGCATGTAGCTGTCAAGACAAGCACTGTCCAAAGGAACCCACACCCAATAAAGGAAAATAATTTTTAAAAGCCTTTTGAAAGGGGTGAATTGCATTTCATTTGAGACTTGAGGCAAAACCAGGGAGAGCTTAACTAGAATTCAAAAGGCAGTTGGGGAAAAAAAGTAACGGCATGCTAAATGCTTCCAGAAAAAAGGGATAAAACCATCATTAGATAAATCTGTCAGGTTGGACTGTTTAAAAAAGATAAAAAAGGTATCATATCTACTCAGCATTTTCATCAGGTTCAAAGGGCTCCTTTGCAGCGACGGGTGTTTTGGGAAACAACACCAAGAAGTCTGCCTATGTGTCGTGTCAGGAAGCATGAGCTTTCGCCAAGTGCCTGGTAAAATGATACATTCCGCTTGCACAAAACCCTTGTACATTATGCACATCTCAACTGCACTGACCTAACACAGCAACATCCACAACATTCCAGTACAAAATAGGGCTGAATAAACAATGTGCTGTGGAAGAGGCCCAAAATCTTCACCCAAAGGCTAGCAGGAGCATAAACTAAAAGGAAGTTAGTCAGAGGTAGAAGGAAGATCAATCAC